TGGATAGTCAACATTAAAAAACAAAAAGTGCACAAGCAAATCATCACTTAAAATTCTTAAAATTTAATTTAAAGAATCTGATATTTTGCAAACAAAAGCTTTGTAATGTTTACTGATAATCTGCTAAATTTCGTTAACATTTGCTTACTAATTTAAAAATTATAGCATGAAAACTATAACAGGCATAAAATGGTTATGAGGTCAGTCCCTGGTACCAAGCCTGTAGTGAGAGAGCTAAGTACATGTTTATAACCAATAGAAAGAACACATTTTAAACTCTATAAATCTGACAGTCGTTTGTAATTGGCTTGGAGGGGAACTTGTAATTTCTCTGGAAAATGGTGAAGTCTATTGAGTAAGTTGTTGCTCTGAACAGAAATGAGGTTTTTTAAACCCACATATAGCTTAGTTATAAAGCGAGATAAATTACAGTTGTTTTATGTGTACCAATATAGTAATTTGATAATTTTTTGATTTCCTCAAATGCATTTTTGAAATCTAAAACAATTAATTTGTTCTCTATTTTAGAGAATAAATGAGGCTTGGAGCATGTATGACACACAAGTACAAATCAATCTTGTAACATTTTATAAAAACTATAATTCATTTTTTTCTATACACTTTTTATTTACTGTTATAGTGTTATAAGAAAAACTAACTAAAATTCATCATTTATGACTAATTAGTAAAATACACTTACATGTTCATAAGCACCTACTTCGTACACCTATATTGCAAAATTCTGACCACCACAGGAGAATAACATCCAAATACCTATCAAGTTCACTGGATCAACCCAGACTTTGTACAGAGCCATATAATAAACACTTTTATTATTTTAGACAATTCCTATTGCAACCACTGTACTATAAACAAGCCAACAAATTATTTCCCATTGAGTTCTTGGAATCAGGATTACAATGGTCTCTGTTGGAAAGTTCTGGTACTTGTGCCGCATGATATTATTTCCTACCAAAGATGTCATATTATGTTATCAAGTAAACTGCCTTGTAGGAGGAGCAGTGATTCATTGTTTTATGTCTGACAGGTTTCTACTTCAGCTGCTAATCATAAGAAATAGATGTGAAAAGGTTAGAAGTAGAAACTATTAGGGGAAGCATTTTGGAACTGAGCAGACTCCATAAGTTCACAAACAAATTTTTAGTAAAAAATACTTTATTAAAAATCCCAATTTTTTGTCTACAAAAGATTTGTAATGTTTACTAAAAGCTTGAAAAATTTCATGAAGATACACAAAACAGTATCAAGCTCAGGGACCCACCACATAGATGAGGAGGGTAATTTTGAAATATGCACAACATCATTCCCTCGATAGGACCATACAGAAGCTGGAGCACAATGCCAGTAGAAGTGGAGTGGATCACTTCTATTAAATATATGAAACCTCACTCTCTAGATAGAACCACATGGTAGCTGGGTGCAACATCAATCACTGGGACCCATCACACAGAGGTGGAACACATGATATGAGGATCGAACACCATTTACACCGGCAGATTACCACCACACCACTCTCTACTGAAGTGAAAGAATCACATTCAGGAGGACTCCTCCATGGTCAGTCACCCAAGTGACTAGGAACTGGAAAGTGATAAGGACTCTCATACTCCACTAGAAGA